CTGTTGTTGGTGAAGATAAACATGCCTAGATGGAAGAGAAGTATAAGAAGGTCATAGAGCACAATAAAGTTTATAACTCCACTATCCGTGACCTTGACGTTAGCCTTCAGGCTGCTAGATCCGTACGGAATAAGCTTTCGACCGAGATTGACCAGCTTAAGGAAGAACTTCAGTGCCAAGCGACTTCCCTCATTATTGAAAAAATATATTCGATGTACAACATGAGGAGAAAAATCTTGGAAGAGGCCAAAGCGGGCATTATTGACTTTGATACAGAGATTGCCAAGGCCCGTGAGTTGGAGTCAACTGCCCGAAGGGGTCTCCCGGTCCAACCTGATGCGGCTGACTCTTCTGGTTCCGATTCCAAGTTCTCGGGAAGTGAGGAAGCACTTGAAGGGGATGATGAGGAAGGTCAAGATCTCGAGTCGGCGGCAGATCCACCTACTTCTCCTAGGGGCGCAGATGCTTCTCTTTCCCCGGGTTCTGGGGATGCAGTAGTTTAGCTTTTTGCTTTCTTTCGTTTTTGTTTATCACTTCATACTTTTGTACTTATGCTTCTTGGCACGTTTGTTATATAAAAGTGCTTTTTTGTTTAAGTATTGCGCAAATTTTTCTCTTTGCGTTGAGTTATGCAATGCTTCGGGTGTGTTTCTTCCCCGATAGTATTTGGATCCCGGACATGAATTCTTTCAGACCAACCCTTTACTACGAGGGTTTCATAATAGAGGGCCCTCTTATGTTTATTGTGCTCTTGAAGAGGATGTTTCCTATTCATTCCGGCACTAGTATTTGAAGTACTTGTTTAACTTTCAAATGATAAAATTAATTCATCGTTCAGACAAGAAAGAAGATAAAAATAAAAGGAATTTACTTTGTTCCTTCTATTTTCAAAAGTACATAAGCATTTGTTATGCTAAAAAGAAATTGCCATTACTTGTGGCTAATTTGTACAACTTATTTTTACGGGGCTGGCCGCGCAGTCCCCGGTCCAGATGATACAACTTTATTCCCGGATTTCGTAGTCTCAGTTTATGTGGCAGTCATGTTGTCGTATCCTCATATCATTTCTTCACCCTAGTGTTCGAATGCGAAGAATGCAAATTTGAATACTGGAAGTCTTGCTCCTTTGAAGATTCCACTAGCGAATGGTTGGATAATCTTTGGTCTGATAGCAAGCTTCACTTCCCATTAGGAACTTTGCTATAAAGCCAAATATTACACAACCACCCCCCAGTGACTTGCACTCGTGAACGTTCGAGTAACCTTTGGCCCGATAACAAGCTTTATTTCCTGGTAGGAACTTTGCTATCGAGTAAAAGACTATCTAACCATTCCGTAGTGGCTCATTGCTTGTATGACTTGTCATTTAAAGGTCTTATTTGTACTGACGGTGCTTTTTCCGTAGTATGATTTTCGTTGCTGCCTCATTAAAAACCTTGCCGGAAAAAATACCCTAGTTAGGACAAAAACTAGACGAAGGGAAAAAGAGTGCAGCACATACTTTTAGTATAGGCGGTGCTCATCAGCAATAATATCTTTTGATGTGTTCCGCTATCTAGTTACTCGATAATTTTACTCCATCTTGATTTTCCAATTTGAATGATCCTCTCTCGGTGACAACTGAAATCCGGTAGGGGCCTTCCCACGTCGGACCTAGCTTTCCTGCATTGAGCTCTCGGGTATTTTGAGTCACTTTCCTTAAAACCAAGCTTCCCACTTTGAAATAACGGAGATTACTCTTTGATTGTTATATCTTTACATTCTTTGTTTTTGGGTCGCCATCATTATATGCGACAAGTCCCTGCGTTCGTCGAGCAGCTCTAATCTAACCAATAATGCTTTATTGTTTGCTTCTTTGTCCGTCCGGAAGTATCTCATGGTAGGTTCTCCTACATCCACCAGTATCAGGGCTTTTGCTCCGTATACGAGAGAGAAAGGTATCTCCCCCATGCTTGCATTGGTCGTTGTTCGGTACGCCCATAGCACTCCCGATAGCTCTTTGGGCCATTTGCCTTTGGCTTATTCCAATCTATTTTTGAGCTTTTGAATAATCACTTTGTTTATCGATTCCACTTGGCCATTTGCGCTCGGGTGGTATGGCGACGATGTGATTCTTTTGGCTTTTAAATCTTCAAAATATTTTATGACCTTTGCACCTATGTTGTGGCCTATTGTCATAAGCTATCTATTTTGGTATCCCGAACCTGCAAATTATGGTCTCCCATATGAAATTGACTACTTCGCGCTCGTCGACTTTCTGGTAAGTACCTACTTTAACCCACTTAAAAAATTAGTCGATTAAAATTAAAAGAAATCTTACCTTATCGGGAGCCAGTGACAACGGACCGACTATGCCCATCCCCTATTTCATGAATGGACAGGGCGACAAAATCGAATGCAATAGCTCTGCCGGTTGATGCACAAGGTGCGTGGCGTTGAAATTTATCGCATTTCTGAACATAAGTCTTACCGTCTTGTTCCATCCGGGGCTAGTGGTATCCTGCCCTAATTAGCTTTAATACCAAGGAATTCGCGCCTGAGTGATTTTTACATATTCTTTCGTGAACTTCTCTCATGACGTAATTAGCTTCGGAGGCTCCTAAAAATCGGGCCAGCGGGCTTTGGAAAGATTTTCTATACAATTGACCACCCCTGAAGCAGTATCGGGCTGCTTTAGTACGCATCACCCAGGATGCCTTGGGATCTTCGGGTAGTTTTCCGTGCTCGAGATAGTCAATGATCTTATTCCTCCAATACCAGACCAAATTGGTCGCGTTTACTTCATAATAGCCATCCACATCCGATACCAAATGCATAAGCTGCACGACCGTACCGGAGTCTGATCCCTTCATTTTCGTGGACGAGCATAGATTGTCCACTGCGTCTGCTTCCGCATTTTCCTCCCTCGGAATATGGGTTATTGACCATTCCCTGAAGCGTGCAAGAAGAGCCTGGACTTTCACTACATATTGTTACATGTGTTCCTCTTTGGTGTCAAAGATACTGCATACCTGATTTACTACCAGTTGAGAAACACACTTGATTTCTATGACCTCCGAGTCCAGTCCCCGGGCTAGCTCAAGTCCTGCAATCAAAGCCTCATACTCGGCTTCATTGTTAGTCAAGGGAACAGTCCCAGACCCTTTCACGTTGGAAGCTCTATCCGTGAATAAGGTCTAGACTCCCAATGTCGATTCCGACACCATCACCATTTCTTTGGTGGCCAAAGGCAGCAGTACAGGACTGAAATCGGCCACAAAGTCAGCCAAAACTTGTGACTTTATCGCAGTCATGGGTTTATACTCTATTTCAAATTCGCTCATTTTGACTGCCCACTTGGCCAGTCGACCTGAAAGTTCAAGTTTGTGAAGGTTATTCCGCAGGGGAAAGGTTGTCACCACGGCTATCGGGTGACATTGAAAATAAGGCCTAAGCTTTTGAGCGATGACTGCGTGATCTAGGGAAAGTTTTTCGAGGTGTGGGTAGCGAGTTTCTTCTCCCATTAAAATTTACTAACATAATAAATAGGAGATTGCGTACCTTCATCTTCACGGACTAAAACGACACTTACTGCTACCTCTGAGACTGCTAAGTAAATCATCAATTATTTGCCTTCCTCTAATTTCGATAATAATGGAGGGCTCGATAAATACCTTTTCAAATCTTTTAGAGTCAGCTGGCATTCCGGAGTCCATTCGAAGTTGTTGTTCTTTTTCAGAAGTGAAAAGAAGTGATGGCATTTTTCTGAAGACCGAGAAGTGAATCTGCTTAAAGCGGCAGTCTTCCTATTAACCTTTGAACCTCTTTCACGTTTGATCGCTGGTCGGGGATGTCCTCGATGACTTTAATTTTATCGGGATTAACTTCAATCACCCTTTGTGACACCAGGAACCCTAAGAATTTACCGGAGCGGACTCCGAATGCACACTTTTCGGGGTTAAGCTTCATGTTGTGCTTTCTTACGATGTCAAAGGTTTCTTGCAAGTGTTTAAGATGATCACTAGCGTTCAAGGACTTAACCAGCATATCATCTATGTAAACTTTCATGGTTTTCCCTATTTATTTTTCAAACATTTTATTCACAAGCCTTTGATAAGTGGCTCTGACATTCTTAAGCCCGAAAGGCATCACATTATAGCAATATGTGCCGAAGTTCGTTATGAACAAAGTTTTTTCTTGATCCTCCGGGTTCATTTTGATTTGGTTGTACCCGGAATAGGCATCGAGGAAACTCATCAACTCGTACCCGGCAGTCGCATCAATCATTTTATCATTGTTTGGCAATGGGAACGAGTCTTTTGGGCACGCCTTATTTAGATCCTTATAGTCTACTCACATGTAAAATTTATTATTCTTTTTTGGAACTACTACTATGTTAGCTAGCCAGTCAGGTTACTTTACCTCTCGGATTGAACCGATATCAAGCAATCGAGTTACCTTTTATTTGATGAATTTGTTTCTAACCTCGGCAATAGGGAATTTCTTTTACCTTACCGGAGGGATGTTAGGATCTAGGCTTAACTTGTGCACAACCACCTCTAGCGGAATACCTGTCATATCTGCATACGACCACGCAAAACAGTCAACCTTAAATTTAAGAAATTCTATAAATTAAGCACAACCACCTCTAGCGGAATACCTGTCATATCTGCATACGACCACGCAAAACAGTCAACCTTAAATTTAAGAAATTCTATAAATTAAGCACAACCACCTCTAGCGGAATACCTGTCATATCTGCATACGACCACGCAAAACAGTCAACCTTAAATTTAAGAAATTCTATAAATCTTGACCTGAGCTCGGGGTTTAGTCATGTCCCCAAGTGAAACTTCCTCTCCAAGAATTTCTCAAACAATACAACTTGCTCGAGTTCTTCCGCTTTGGTTGCATCCTTTACTTCTAGTACTTGGAAATATCTTGGTACCTGATAGGATTCCAACTCCTCCTCCTATGTCTACTTCATTTGGCTCAGGAGCTGGCATCGGTTCCTGTAATTGCTATATCGCATGCTCCTTCCCTTTGCTACTTGAAACTGAGATCGCGTTCATCTCCCTTGCTGCCAGCTGGTCTCCTCCTATTTGTTTAATTCCCTCTGGAGTTGGGAATTTCAAAAGTTGATGGTGTGTTGACGGCACAACCTTCATCTCGTACAGCCATGGTCTTCCAAGAATAATATTGTAGCCCATATCGCCTTCTACTACTTTAAAAAGGGTCGTCTTCATTACCCCTTCGGCATTTGTGGGCAACAAGACTTCCCCTTGGGTTGTCACGCTTGCTAAATTGAACCCGGTGAAGAGCTTTATGGCCGGAATAATACTTCCGATTAGCTTGGCTTGTTCCAATACTCTCCATTGTATAATATTGGTTGAACTCCCTGGGTCCACCAAAACATATTTGATTTTAGAATCTAAAACATTAAGGGAAATTACTAGGGCATCATTGTATGGTAGTAGGAATCCATCTTCATCCTCCTCCATGAAGGTGATGTCGTCCTCAACGACTTCCCAGAGTCTCTTGCTATGGGTCACCGATACCTTCATCTTTTTCGCTACCGAAAAGGTTACACCATTAATCTAGTCCCCCCTCGAAAATCATGTTGATCGTCAGACGAGGAGGATCTTCTCCTGCTTTCGAGGGTTCCGTGTTATCCCGGTTGCGACCATAGTTGTTCTAAGCCCGGTCACTTAAGAATTCTCTAAGATGGCCATTTTTCAGCAATGTCGCCACCTCCTAGCATAGATGTCAGCACTCCCCAGTTTGGTGGTCGTTGGTCCTATGGTACTCGCACCATAGATTAAGATCCCTCTGACCGGGGTCGGATCTCATCGCCTTGAGAATCATGCTTCCTTAATGTTTCTCATAGCCTACACTTGTTCCACTACGTTGGCGTTGAAATTATATTCGGACATCTTAGGGTAGGTGGATTCCCGGCGGCCCGATACCTCTTTATCTTGCAATGATCTGTTATTTCGGCAGCGATCCAATCTCCTATCGGTAGTGAACCTATCCACCGATCGAAAACCTCTGCCGCGTCCTTTGTCCATTCCGTAGGCAAACACCGACCTCTGGAAGACCATCGGTCTGCGTCGAAATCATCCTTCAACTTTTCCTTATTCTTCTCTCAGTCTCGTCCCTTAGTTGAAGCCGGGAAACTGAGTTGGTCATCCTCAATTCTTATTTTCGACTCGTAGCGGTTGTGAACATCTGCCCATGTTGTTGCCTAGAAATCGAGCAGACTTTCTTTCAATTTTCGGGAAGTGTCAGAACTCCTCGGATTCAACCCTTTAGTAAATGCCTCAGCTGCCCATTCGTCCGGCACGACCAGTAGCAGCATCCTTTCCTTTTGGAATCTGGTCACGAACTCCCGCAGAAATTCGAACTTTCCTTACGTAATTCTGAATATGTCGTCCTTACCTTACTGGCCGCGACATGGGTCTTGATAAAAGAATTTGTGAGCATCTCGAAAGAATATATTGAGTGCTCGTGTAAAAGTGAATACCATGTTAGGGCCCCTTTTATTAGGGTCTCTCCGAACTTCTTCAATAAGACTGACTTGATTTTGTATGGAGCTGTCATTTCCCTTCACCACCGTTGTATAAGTGATGATGTACTCTTGATGTTCCGAAGTCCCATCATATTTTGGCACATCAGGCGTTTTGAACCGCTTCAGGATCAACTCGTGCTTGGTTTGAACATAAACTGGGTGTATTTCTTTGAATCCAGTCCTTTCAATACTTGTCACGACCCCAAATTCCCTTCGTAGGATGTTGTGATGGCACCTAGTCTCTAAGACTAGGTAAGCCTATCAATGCGGAATAACAATAGAAATCTGAAATAAATAAATCTGCAATTCACATAATTACAACTCCCAAAACCCGGTAGAAATAAATCACAAGCTTCTAAGAATCTATCTTCAATGCCTTTATACATCAAGGTCTAAAAAAAATAAGGAAACAACATAATAAGGATAGAAGGGGACTCCGGAGTCTGCGGACCCTGGCAGATATACCTCGAAGTCTCCTCGTATGGCTAATTCACTGATGCCTGATCTGATAAGATGTACCTGAATCTGCACAAAAAGATGTGCAGAAGCGTAGTATGAGTATACCACAGCGGTACCTAGTAAGTGCCAAGCCTAACCTCGGTAGAGTAGTGACGAGGTCAGGTCATGCCCTACTGGAATAATAAAAGACATGGTGACATGTTTAACAATATAGGAAATGAATCAAGTAAGTAGTATGTCACCATTAAATTACACAGAATAAGGGCAATTAATACCTGGCGGCAAGAAAACAGAAATTTACGACTTTAAGAAAAATCACGACAATAATCAAAAGCAAATGTAGCAAAAATTAAATATCAACAAGCGCACTCCCGAGGTACTACCTCGTAGTCCCAAATAATAATTAAATTCACAATATCTCATTTTTCTTATATCACTGCGGGAGCCTTCGCATTTAATTTAAAGAAAATATTTTTCCCGAAATAGCATCCCGCGTTTTAGCCACCCTTATCACACCGCATGACTTCTAGTAGTTCCCCTACTAGCCACGCGTATCAAGCCACCCTTATCTCACCGCATGCGTTTCAACACCCAGACCTTATACCACCGCATGCGTATCAATATCACATTATATCAAAATTTGTACCTCAAGTGCCCAAATATGTCAACATGACAAAATTAATTAACAACAAGAATATTTTCCACAATAAGGAGCTCACGGCTCAATCACAGTAAGTACAAAGTCTCACAAAATATTCAACAAATTAATATTTCCACAAATTTTACATCTTGACTTAACATCAAATTTTTAAATGTAAAATACTTCATTTTTAATAATATTTAATTTAAAAAAATTCAACCTTCAAATAATGCACAGAATAAAAGAAAACAAAGTTTCAACTAAACAGGAAAAAATATTAGTAGGAAAAATGTCAGGCAAATTTAAAATATAAAAATAGAATAATGATGATGAATATGACCGGATAAAATAATTTAATTAATGTGTAACAAAGATCTACACAATTTAAAACTAGAGTTTTCCACATTTAGCCTGTGTACACATTCGTCGCCTCGCGTACACGACTTTCCACACATCACAATTATCATATCAATACCAATCCTAATGGGAATTTCTCCCACGCAAGGTTAGACAAGCCACTTACCTCGACTTGTGTAATTGTTTACTCTGTTATGCCCTTGCCTCGTGAATTAGCTTTCGAAAGTGTAACGACCCGGTCGGTCATTTTGAGAGTAATAGCCCCGATCCTGTATATACTGTTTCCCCCGTACCTTTTTCTTCTTAGGTGACTTGCCGGGAGGTTTTGTTTTTGGTTTCAGAGTGTTTTGGGACACTTAGTCCCTAAATAGAGGTTTAATCCTTAGGATTTGGACCGTAGTCGGAACTGTGTGAAGACGACTCCGAAATGAAATTTCGTCGGTTTCGTTAGATCCGTTAGGTGATTTTTGGTTTAGGGGCGTGTCCGGATTGTGTTTTGGAGGTCCGTAGCTCATTTAGGCTTGAAATGGCGAAAGTTGAATTTTTGGAGTTTCGGGTTGGTAGTGAAATTTTTGATATCGGGGTCGGATTCTGATTTCGAAAGTTGGAGTAGGTCCTTAATGTTGAATATGACTTGTGTGCAAAATTTGGGGTCAATCGGACGTGGTTTGGTTAGTTTCGGCATCGGTTGTCGAATTTGGAAATTTCAAGTTCTTTAAGTTTGAATCAGAGGATGATTTGTTATTTTAGCGTTGTTTGATGTGGTTTGAGGATTAGACTAAGTTAGTATGGTATTTTAGGACTTGTTGGTATGTTTGGTTGAGGCCCCGGGGGCCTCGGCTGTGTTTCGGATGCTTAACGGATGGATTTTGGACTTATGACAGTTGTTGAGTTTCTTTGCTGGTTCTGATGTTTCGCACATGCGGAGGGGAGACCGCAGGTACGGGCTCGCACGTATGGAAGACCAGGCGCAGATGTGGAATTTGGAGGTGTCACGACCCAAAATCCCAACCTGTCATAATGGCGCCTATCTTGATACTAGGTAAGCCGATAATCTCAATAAACCACAATTTCTCTTAAGTTTGAAAATATAATATTTAATTACAATACAAAATCCCACAAATAGTGATACGAACACTCCCCAAAATCTGGTGTCACTAAGTACATGAACATCTAATATGGATACAAGTCAAAAGAAAATGGTTTATAATAGTCTAAGACCAAATACAGTAAACAAGGAGATAGGGAAAGAGAGACAAGGTCTGCGAAACACGGCAGCTACCTCTGAATCTCCGAAAAATCAACCGTGCGAGAGAATCAGCACCCGCTATGTCTGGGAATACCTGGATCTGCACACGAAGTGCAGGGTGTAGTATGAGTACAACCAACTCAGCAAGTACCAATAATAAATAAGGAGCTGAAGATAATGACGAGCTACACAGTTACAGTTCATTTTCAGTAATTCCAATAGAGAGTAGACATGCTTTCAATTCCAAAAGTTTAAGTCAAATCAGTTTTATACAGTTCAAGTTCATGTAATCCGGATATAAAATCTTTCAGAGAATTTCACATCAATGACAGATAGCAACGAAGTGCAACAACAAATGAAAAGCAAGTACAGCCTCTCAAGCAACAGATACTCAACTCGTCACAACAACTCAACTACTCAGCTCTCAGCCCTCAGTACTCACACTCAATGGGTACCCACGCTCACTGGGGTGTATAGACTCCGTAGGGGCTCCTACAGCCCAAGCGCTATAATATGCACGGCCAACTCACGTGCTGCACGACCAACTCATGTGCTATAGTATCAATATCTGGATCCGCACAGCCAACTCACGTGCTGCACGACCAACTCACGTGCTATAGTATCAATATCTGGATCCGCACGGCCAACTCACGTGCTGCACGGACAACTCGCGTGCTATAGTATCAATATCTGGATCCGCACGACCAACTCACGTGCTGCACGGACAACTCACGTGCTGATATCCCGCACGGATAACTCACGTGCTATAATATAATAGCTCACAATCAGGCCCTCGGCCTCACTCAGTCACAAATCTCCCCAGTATCTCGGGCTCTCAATAATCATGAAATCAGCCCAAATCTACAAATCTTATTTCCAAATTTCTAAGTTCTAATATCCGATTTACACCTCAAAAATATGTAATCTAGTCAGATTATTCAATGATAATTCAATATTATGGAGTAGAAATGATCACAAGGGACTTACCTCAAGTTTTTCTTGAAAATCTATCAAAATTCGCCTCTCCTCAAGCTCCAATTTGTCAAAAATGACGAATGGGACAAAGTCCCCTGCTTTATAATTCTGCCCAGACAGCCCTCGGTACTGCCTCGATCTTGGCCTTCGATCGTGATCCTCGATCCTGGGCCTCGATCCTGGCCCTCGACCCTGGCATTCGATCCTGCCTTCGATCGTGGCTTCGATACTGGACTCGATCATGGCCCTCGACCCTGCCTTCGATCGTGGCTTCGATACTGGACTCGATCATGGCCCTCGACCCTGCCTTCGATCG